GGGCGGTGCTCAACCTTTCGACTGAGCCCGGTGGACCGTGGTTATGGACGGCCACCCCGAACAAGTGCATGTACCACAACTGCTCTTGCGGAAACGAAACGACTACCTTAAGTGTGCACACCCCCTAAAAGCGATTCCAAGCCCTCTGAGTAGTAAGTCATCCCGAGTGGTCGGAACCCAACCACCCCACCTCTAAAATTCTTGAATGATTAGGGACTACTACTATAACTCTGCTTCTTAAAAGGGATCATCGATCCAATTATCACTCAAAACTTATCCTCGCCCTTAGCAGTAGCAGCCCTTTTACGTCGGAACTACTACTACTACCACAACTCTCCTTCTTAAAAGGGATCATCGATCCGAAAGTTACTCAAACTGTACTTCTTAGTAGTAGCCGCTCTAATCACCCTCCACATTTATCCGGATGTGGAAAACCGACACCACGGATTTCTCCCGTGGTGCTCACTTTTTATGAAATTATTCTTTTATCTTGATTTAATATACTTCAAAATATTCCTCAATTTCTCAAACTGGCTCGAAAATATTTAAATAAAATGTTTAATACTCAAAAGCACTTCTTCTCAAATATCACAGATTGGAAAATTTCAGATCACATGCATACACTAAAATCATGTATCACATAATACATATATAATACGAGGAAACGATTTTGGATTGGCAGAGAAACTTACAATTTAGGGTTTATCCAAAACTAGTTCCAAAATAGTATTTAATACCATATTCAAAATAATCCAATAAGGATATTTATAACTCCAGAATATATGTGTAAATTTTCATACCAAATTATACATTTAAAAATATATAATTTATCCCAAAAGATTTGATCTCACAACACTTTCCAAAAAGAGGGTTTAACCCAAACAACCACTTCCCAAAAGTAGCATTTACTACTACCACCAAAATAATCAAATTGGAGTATTCTGAACCCATAATATATTTTCAATATAACCAGTTATAATATTCTAAAATCATTCTTCAACTCATACCAAAACAATCACCAAAATTTTCCAATCCCAAAAGAACAATCATCAAAAATCACAATTTTAGGCATGATAAACTGATTTGATAAATTCACCAAAAATCACACGTTCATAAATTCCCAGAAAAACATACATCATAATACTCATACTATTATAGCCGAATTATCCATAAAATTTCAGAAAGAAACTCAAATCATAGCACAAACCCTAGTTTATACAATATAGGGGCAAAATAGTAATTTTGGTTGCAATAGTCCTTACCTTGAGGCTAGCAACGAATCCTAAACGTCAAACCTAGTTTGAAGGATCATTCTCACGTACCTAGGAAGTGATAGGTTCGAAGGATCTCAATTTAGGAGAAAGAAATTTAGGAAACGGATGAACGACGCGAATTATGCAACAAACGCACTTACCGGAATATTGGATTGTTTGATCTCATCATTGGCATAAAATTTCGTGCTGGATACGTTAATATTGAAGAGCTGGAAGGGATAGAGCTTGAAGAGGCGGTCCTAGGGTTTTTGGAATGAGGAAAATCGGATTAGGGATGTATTTATAGTGAATTTCCGAAGTTTGAGTTGCATTAGGATACAACAGGAACCCACGCGTGCGTACCTTCCATGCACGCCGTGCGTGACCCCCAGACGCCCCAAACCTTAGTTTTTGCCTCGTTTCTTCCCCATTTGGACCTTCCCTTTGTCCCAAACACTAAACCAAACACAATAAACGACCTAAAGACCATGTAAACAATATGAAACACAATTTTAATTATTTCCCAAATTCTCTCAATTTTTCGGGGTATTACACCGCCCTCGGGAGCCTTGTTAGAGGCTCCGGGGGTGTTGACTTCACCGAGGGCCAGGTTGTTGTCCTCAAGGTTCTTGGACTGAGCACGGGTGGTTCTTCTCATTTTGATAGGTGTTTTGAGCTGAAGGGGAGGGTTTCTTACTTGATTGTTCGACCTCTCAACGAGAGCACCAAATGATGGATAGTGTACCCGGGGGTAGCTTATCCGAGGGGTTACTGCGGGGAGTAACTTAGAGAGAAGTCAGAGCAAACAAGTAAGAGAGATAAAGAGTTCAAGTATGTATTCGAATTGGATTGAGCGTGTTGAACGTGGTTTACAATGGGGAAAGGGGTGTTATTTATAGTAGCAATAAATGCTAGATAAGGACACGTGTCATCATTCTGGTGGTCGAGGGGTCACCTCAACCGGGGTGGCACCGGCACTCGCATGTGGCCGCATTAATTGCGGTGGTTGGATGTGACGTTTGTACTTGGTACGTTGATCCAGCGCATGTGGATGGGAGATTTTGTCGAGGAGGATGCCTTCGGCTGTAGATGATAGTCCGAAGGCTCTGCGTTCCGGGGGTTTCATAGTGCCGAGGACTCCTAGTGCCGAAGGCTACTGATTTCGCCGTTTTCTCCCAGTGGCTTCGTATGCCTAAGCCAGCTGTCCTGTGTTAATTTGGCGCCCTCGGCCAGGGGACCGAAGGCGGCTGTATGGGAACCGTGGGCTTCCTGTTACTCGGGGAGCTGTGCGTTGGGCCTGTTGTGCTTCCTGGACTTGTTGGGCCCTTGTTAGAGTAGTAGGAGTCTATTGGTCGGGGGTCCCTGGGCCATATACTCCATCAAGCGGCTGAGTTGGCTTTATCTGACAAAATTATGAAAAAATTATACTCCGTATATAAGATATATTGTGTTTATAAAATAAAAAATTATATGAATACAGATAAAATTTTCATAGTAACTTCAACCAATTCAGTCAAAAAAGTAATTCCAACATTACATATTTTGATTATTACACAATTCATCACACAAAATTAAGAATTGTTTGGTGAAAAGAGTAATAAGGACAAAAATAGTAAGGACATAAACAACATATTTTTCTTTCCCATAGTAAAAAGTTGGGCCTCTTGGCCATTTGGCCTTACTAGTGAATTTAAAAGTGGAAATTACTCGTTGAGACTCCTTTGCTCCACTGTATTTCTTTTATATCACCGGTTATTTTTTTTTCAATTTTAACTTTTAACTTTTCATTGTAATTTTTTTTATTCCAAAAATAGGCTATAGCTTTGGATCGAGCTTTAAATCAGGCAGATTGAAATTTAGATTAGTTCTCTCCATTCGCTGATTCCCAACTGGAGATGGAAGAATTGTGCCTCTCCGTCGTCCACGATTCAGATGATTTGAACTTCAACACTGAATGTTCACCAAGGAGTTCAACTGAACCAGATTTCTGTCGCGAGTTGGAATCACCGGTGATAGGACCGCCATCCGCACAACCCGATTCGGAATGTCCAGATTTTCTTCTATCGTTGAGTTTGGGTGCCGATCTGCTGCAAATTTGGAATGCCACTGTCCATGGTGCTGTGAATCTAGCATCCCGATTTCCTCCTTCATATGGTATGGGACTAACCGCAGATGGAGGGTCGACCGAATCTACCTGTGAAGGTTGAGATTTCCCACCGCTATCCATTCTACGAAGTCCGAACTTAACATGACCAAAAAGAACTTACTTCTTTTTCGTTGGTGATGTCGTCTTTCTTTCTACCAGATTTTGTCCTAAAACAGAACTCGATCTTCTCTTCATACTGTAGCTCCCTTCGAGAAGAAGTCAATTTCATGCTCTGTTAAGGAAATGATTGATTGAATTGTGTATTTATTGTGATACTGTTATATATTATTTTTTTGTTTCTTTTTGTTGTATTACATGTATTGTATTTTTTTCATCGTGTTGCATCATGTTGCATTTTATTGCATCTTGTTACTTTTTGTTGCACTATGTTTTTTATTATTGTTTATTGTTTATTCAGCTTTTTGTTATTTATTTGGATTTCTATATATTTTTCTAATCTTTAAAATTGAAATATCTATGTCGGCAATATGAACAAACACCAAAAATGTTAAATACAAATTAATGAATATGAACAACAAGAAACATGAACAAACAATACGAAACAAGAATTTCAAAGTTATCAACAAAAAGAAACACAAAGAAACAATAGGAAACAAAAACTAAGATAATAATTATTAAAATATGTAACCTTTTGAAAAGCATAGTCACAAAATTCATTTTCTTTTGTTTTTTTCAAAATTTTCAGGTTTCATTTTTTACATTTAATTTTCATTTTCATATTTTTATTTCCGATTCCTTTTATTTTACACATTTTATAATTTAATTTATTTCCATTTTTTAAGAATTTATTTTTAGGTTTTTATTTTATATATTTATTAGCTTTTTTTGAGTTTTGTTTTGTTTTTTCAAATTTAAACATTTATTTAAATTTCTTAAGTTTTAATTTTTTATTTTTATGTTTTCCGGTTTTTAAAAGTTTACTCTTTTCATAAAAATATTAAAATGCCTTTAATTTTTTTTTAAAAAAATATTTTACATATTTTGTTTATAGTTTTTAGGTGTTTAGATTTTTTAATAATTCACATGCTTTAGAGCTTACATTGATTTTCTTATTTTCAATATTTATGAATTATATATTCTGTTTATATTTTAATTTAAATATTTAATTCGAATTTTTCGAATATTTTCATTTTATATATGTATTTGAAATTTATAGTTCTTTTTATTTTGCATATATTTCAATTTTTAAAAAAGTATTCTTTCAAAAAAATATATTTACTTTTTATAGTTTTAATAGTTTCAGAACATTTTCAATACTCCGTATTTAACTTGGAGGTTCAATTAGCATTTTTAATGAAACCTTTTCTTAAAATTTTATTTTTACTTTGACTTTCATTATATTTAAAAAGTCAAAAAAAAAGTCCTGCAACATTATGCGTTCAACAATTAGGCCACTAAGGAGTAGACATACGCATTTCATCATTTAGGGAGCAAAGATATGGATCTACTTGCTTCGGAAGGAGTAGGTACGGTCTATTTGTGAAATAAAAAGTTAAGTTGTCTAATTTTGAAAAAAAACTTTAGATAATGAAAAATATGATATTGTTTTCACTTTTAGCATGTTTGCCAAAATTTCCCAATTTAAAAAGTTGAAGCCGGCCTGTTTATGGCTTTATTCACTAACAGTACTGGCGGGAAACCCAACTCTTATGATCCATCCTTCTCCATCTCCGTTAGAGTCTTCTTCAGAGAGATGGCCAACAAGCTCATTAGCCAAATGGGTCTTCCCAAGTCAATATCCAATATATTCGTCGCTCGTAATATCCTCACCGCCAAGGTTCGTCTCCCCCTTCTGATTTTCTACTCGTGTCTTCGGTCGCTCGTGTACTATGCCTTTCTTAATTAGAAGTTCTCGATTCAGTGGAAGTTTCGGTGGATTATTCGTTGACTAAATGTACACTATGCGCAATTTGATCGGCATTTTAATGCCTTTTCCAGGATGCACTTTCGTTAACTGAATTCGAATTGATGGATTTATTAGACCTTAATTTGTCCGAGGTAATATCTGCAATTGGACACATCAGTGAAATTGCTTGTCCTCCATATCAAACTGTAAGCTTATTATGTCTCCGGATCTGTTTGCATTTTGTATAGTGATTTGCGGGAAACTGCTAATGCTCGGATTTCTGTTTTCAATTTTCAGGCTCTATCTCTTCTGGAACTTCGTACAGAAAACGAGAGCTTTGGCGGCCACCTCCCAACTCGTTTGAGAGGATTAGACGCTGCAATGTGCGGTGGAATTCCATTTGGTGTTGTTACAGAAGTTGTGGGCCCGGCTGGGATAGGCAAAACCCAGGCAAGATAGCTTTATGTTTTCAGTAATTGGTTATATAATTCTGTTCTTGGTACCTACGTTGTGAAAAGTGAAAACTATGTTGACCGCTAGCAGACAAGTTACCAAGTCTTCATAAGTTCACATTATGTTGGTGGTACACGGTGGCGGAGCCAGGAATGTCAGGTTACGGGGGCCGGGCTGAAAGAATTTATATAGCAGGGGCTAAAGCTTACATTTTCACTATATTTTTTACTACTTATAAATTATACATATGTTATACATCACGAATTTTTTCCTGCAGCTGTATATGTGGTTATTGTTCCGCAAGTCCAAGCATGTTGGGACTTGGGAGTTGGGAACTTGGGACCAACATGAGATTGTTCTTCGAAGCTCATTTTCTTGTTTCTGTTGTGTAGTTTTGCCTCAAGCTCTCGTTACTTGCTGCACTTCCTTTATCATATGGAGGTTTAAATGGACACGTTTTATTCATTGATACTGAATCCAAATTCAGTTCTAAAAGGTTTTTCCCTGGATATGGTTTTAATAGCTCCCAGAAATGAGGAATATACAATTATACATGTATTAATACAATCATTTTACTGTTATTTATCAATTATCTATAATTTGGTTTTAGGATGGTAGAAATCGGAGTGAATAGTTTCCCAGAAGTATTTCACAAGGAAAAGATGGCACAAGAGGTACTCTGCATGGCGCTCTCTCTGTCCGTAAACCTTGTTGCTTTACAATGTTTATTGATCATTAAGTTCATTCCCCTCAACACTTTTTGAATTGAAAATAACTTTATGTGATGCTAACTATTGCCTATCGACCAATAATAATACAGGCTATAGATTTCCATATTATTTTATACTCAAATTATTAGAAGATGTAATATAAATGGTTCCAACTAGAAATCCAATCATTTAACTAATAAAAAACTGGCATAAACCTATCAAATAATTCTTGTCACAGGGTTGATAATGATTATTGATCGGTTAAATGACCGTATTGCTAGTCGGAAAATGGTTGCTTACTTTCGTATCATTATAGTCTGCATTATTTTGGTTGACAAGTTATAGCTTTATTATTTAAAGTTATTTTCCTTATTAAAATTATAATTAATACTCCGTAGTTAAAGTTTTATATATAGAAACAACGCTAAAATTTCTATTAATCACAAAAACTGAATTTGAATACGATGAAAAGTTTGATTTATAATAGCGTAAATAAAAATAGAGTTCAGTTGACCAAAAAGAATGAACATGAAGATTATTCGGGACTGGAGGAGTATACCTTTGTTTCTTTTTTCAAGGTTGTCATAATTGGACAAATGGTTATGTGTAGTACATAATAGTCTAACTTTTTCTGATTCTTCATAATACAGAATCAACGGCCTTTTGGTAACAACTGTTTTTAGCATATGAACCGTATTATTTTCACCAAACCCTAACTTATTTGGCTGTGTTAACTGAGCTGGTTACTAATGGAAAAGCATGATTAAAAGTAACTTTTATGGCTAAAGTTGCTTAAGATGAGCACTGTTATGATTTTAAAAGGTTTCATATATATTTTCTTTTGTCAATAAAATGTATTCATGTTTTTGAATATAATTTAGCAATTTCACAACTTTAGGCTTTAGTTGTTGCTCCCTTTCAGTTTTTCCCCGCCCAAGCAATTTTTTGTTTGTTTCCATACTATAATTACACAAAGCTATTGATGCACTGGTGCCTTCATCTTTAGAGTGACCAATTGGTTGTCTTTAATGAGGTAGTGCAAGACATTGCATTTCAAGATATAACAAAGCTTTTACTTAACTTGCAGATGGCAGGGCGGATCATAGTTCTCAGACCAACATCGCTTACTGACTTTACAGAGAGGTTTGAACTTTGAAGCTGTTTTGGCACATCTTCTGCCTGCCTGAGAGTTGATGAAATACTTGGCTTTGAGGGAAGTGAAAAAATTGACTATCCTTCTAAAAATAGAAATAGAAGTTGCTCAATAAAGGACCAAAATGTACACAAGGTTCAAAAATAGGACTAAGTATGCTTTATTCCCCAAATAAGACTTGTTTAGTTCTATTAAAAGTAGTTGATTAAAACTTCCCAAACAGGAGTAATGAGTCATATTTTGGGAATAAAACAATGATAGTCCTATTTAGGGAATTTTCTCAAATAGAAACTGTTTCTTTTTCATTACCTCCCTTTCCCTTCATTTGTTTTGGGCGATGAGACCACTTGCCGGAGTATTTTCATAGTCTTGCCATTTTGTCTTATTATCAGATTAGAACAAATTAGAGATTCTATTTTCCAACATAAAGTGAAGTTGCTAATTGTTGACAGCTTGGCAGCTCTTCTTTCAGGGTAATTCCATATCCTCTTTCCCCTCATTAGTTATATACCGGTGGACTGATGTAAAATTCGTTAATCATCAATTGTCTTTTTAGAATGGATGCAAGCAACTTCAAGGTTCTTTTTAAGTTTTTATCCCTTTTTGGTCATATAGTTTTAATCTTTTGCAGTCGATGGGAAAATTTAGTTGGTTATCTGATAAGCAGAAGATGTATTCCTGTTATTGTTTCCACTCATTTTTCGTTGTTGCAAGAAGTTTGACAAAGGTTTTAAATCTGATAACATGTTTCTTCCTTACCTTCCTACCATATGGCCAATCTGGATTAATCCCTAAAATATTGATTATCCTTTTTGTCTATTTCTGCCTTTTTCTAGTTTATATGATTTCCCCCAGAACTAACATGTTTGTGCACACCTTATATATTGGTTCAGGGAAGAATTTCAAGGGACTCATAGACAACACTCATTGGGCTGGCACATATCATTTCTTAAGTGAGATTTTTCTCTATTTTTAGGTTCACATTTATTTACTGTTTTCCCAATGTCCAATTTGCTTAATGCCTTTATGCCTTAAGGCCCGCCTCAGCGTTTTTTTTGGGCGAATACTCATTAAGGTAACTCCTAAATTACACAATGTTGAGGCTTACGCCTTTTGGGCTGTGGTGCACGCATTGGGGCGGGACTCAGACGTACAAAATTGCATTTGCAGGGGTTAATCAATTAAGCTGTGACCATAAAAAAATAGCCCATTTTTCTATTAAAATTTCTTCTCCACTTCTCTTCTTTGAAAATCACCTTCCTTGTGTGCGTCTTTTAGAACTCTTCATCTTATTTTCTCTACCTCTTGTCAGAAAGGAACTATTTTTATATACTTTCCCCAAGACACACACATCAACACGATGTGATTGTGTGAGTTCTCTTCTCTCCTGCAAGGTGTTTTTTCCTGCAATAGTTTCTTTTTCTGGTTAATAATGGACGTGAGTGTTGATGGTCACAGTGATGGTAATGGTAGTGGTGAAGGTGATAGTGATGGTGGATTTGATGTGAGGTTTTGATTCATTTCTGAATCAAATAAACTTTAAACTTTAATTAGGATTAGACAATATTTATTACTATCTGATGTTTGAACTTACTATTTTTAATGGTGTTATGACCGTATTATTCTTTGTTTTGGCTATGAGTCTGTTGAGTTTTGATGACTGTTTTATTATACGACAGTATTATTTATTTATTTTAATATTATTTGTGGTATTTTTATATAAATTATTAAGAACTGAGGCCTACGCCTCAATGCATAATGAAGTTTATGCAATGTGTAATCCCTACAAACCGACTCAATTATGCATACACGATTTAGAACATTGGTATTAACATCTTCATTATAACTCTTCAGATCACTTGCTGAGTTTTCAAGAATACCTGTAGTAGTCACCAACCAAGTGAGATCACAAAATCGCGAAGAAACTTCCCAGTTTCATTTCCAAGGTATTTTGGCCAATTAAAAAGTATCTTATACAATGGATGGACTTGACATAATAATGTAGTTTACTAATCGAGCTTTATGAACTTTTTTTAGAGGGTTGGTCTCTTTTGAGACTACCCACAGTCTTTCTCATGAAACGGAAATATTTTTTGTTCAAAAGTAATATATCTGAACATAAGTTTCATAATTTTATTATTACAAGTAAATAAGTAATACTACTCTATATTACTTTCTAAAAAAAGTAAAACTTCTATTTATGTTTAAAAGTACCACGTAGTATAATTTTCTGAGAAATGGCATCATTGTCTCACTATGAGACGGTCTCACACTAGTTTTTATGTTCTGCAAAGTGTTATAAAGTCTGAAGTATAACCATGTCACATGGAATGAAGTTGTTTTTCGAAAAACTTCATACTTATTGTTCCCAGCTCATCAGCTTGTTAAATATCTTAGCATTTATCCTCTGCAGCTCAGAAGACGACTGCGAACCTTGAAAATCCCACCAAATTTGATCACCATTTAGTTGCTGCACTTGGAATCCATTGGGCTCATGCTGTCACAACTCGCCTTGTATTCGAATCTCGATCAGGTCATTCTCCAACGTTTCATGAGGATTAAAAGCTACAACTGCTACTTATTTAGATAATAATCATGAAAAGACTCATTGTTTCTTTGTCTGGAAAATCATCTTTGTCATACTGCTACTTATTTAGATAATAATCATGAAAAGACTCATTGTTTTCTTTGTTTGGAAAATCATCTTTGTCATATTTGTAAAACATGTGCAACTGTAAATCCCAAAGGGCATGTTTGGGAGGGGAGGAGAAGGATGACCCTCTCTTTTTTGTTTGGGGTTCAAAAAGTTGGATAGGAATGGTTTTGAAAGGTTCTCGTGACCCCCCAAAACCCTTCAAATGCCCAATTTTTAAGTTCGCCCAAATTGAGGTTTTTTGAAGGATAACTAATTAAATGATAAATTTTAGTCAATTTAAAATGAATATAAGTTCAACTATTTGAATTGTTCATACCGCTGAAGTGATTTTATGTATACTTTCTCCATAGTCTCTCTGATTCCAAATTTGTTACTCTCAAACAAGGATATCCATGGCTTCCCCTCCTACGGATAACCTTGAAAACTTTCCTCTCCCCTACCCCCAACAGCCCAAACTCCCAAACATACCCTAAAGGTTTTCATTCTACTGATGTATAAACTTCTAGTAATGCATATATCAGCCAAAGAAGTAGATATTACTGCTATCTTGACTTTTGCAGGTCAAAGGTATATAAAAGTAGCCAAATCTTCAATATCCCCACCAATTGCTTTTCCTTTCAACATAACTTCATGTGGTATTTCATTACTAGACGATGATGGTGTGGAAATGACTGGGCCAGAAATGAATACCATCAATTATCAAGGTTTTATCCTAATACTTTTCATACTCAAGGTAGTCAAAGGCGTTAGGCGCACTCAAGGCGACAGGGGATTTCCAGCGCCTGAGGCGCAAGGCGCAAAAAAGCGCTCGCCTGACTCATGTCAGGCGCACTGCTTAGAAAAAATAACACATACTACTCTCCAACAATCAAACATGATGTATATAACACCATATTGAACCAACTACATTAAAAAGTCACGTTTCTTACAAATAAACTCACGATTAACCAAAATAAAGTCACGATTAACCTAAATAAAGTCATGGCTCATGATTCACTTAAAGTCTTAAACATTAAAACTAAAAAATAAAACATAATTAGATTTTAATTTTCTAGCCCAATTCCCCATTTTCTGCAGGACTATTTGTCATGAAAAGACGAGTTTGTTTCTTCTCCATTTTCTAATTTATATCCTCCTACATCCTCTTCAATTTCTCCATCACTTCCCTCATCCACAAGCCTACTACTACTCCACTAGTACTTGTACTACAAATTGTGGACTGCCTACTACTCTACTAGTATATTTTATGGGTTTTTTTTTCATTTTTCAGCACTACGAGTAACCAATATTTTTGTTGATTTAGCAGCTTCGGAACTTTTGGCTGAAGTTCCAACTTCCATGTCCTGTAAAAAAATACACAAGTCAGATATTATATATACAGTATACTGTCATGTATGAGTTCTAAATAGTACAGTATATAATAACAACTACATGCTGAAAAAAATAAAGACAATGGACTGGTTGTATCATAGTATGTATATGTGGTAAAGAAAATGGTAGTTTGCTAATATGGACTGGTAGTATGTATACAACTATACATGGAAAAAAATACAGTAGCTGAAACATATTACATATACATGATAAAAAAATACAAGTAGCTGAAACATATACATGGTAAAAATATGTTAGGGACCTGAACACTACCAAGAATTAGAGCCTTATTAAGTCATTTTAGTTTTGTTCAATAATAGGGTTTAGGCCCTACAACTTATTAGAAGTGGGTTGGCCCATTAGAAATAGAATAAATAAGGGTGAGTGGGGATTAGATGGGAGGCAGAACTTGGGATCAGGACTGGGATATTGGGAGTGAGAGACCACTCGAAGAGTCTCAAACCTTTCCTTTCGTGACTTTCTGTATTCCTTCACTAAATTTTCATTAATAAACTACTACTTTCTTCTTGGATTCTTCAGTTACTTATCATTGGTATCAGAGCCATTGACAAAAGCCTTACCTGCGCATGGTATTGACCCGATCGAGAATGGAGCAACGTGTGGAAAATCTGGAAAACACCCTAGCGGAAGTGAGAACTGCCGTGAATGAACTGCTTGGCTTGCGTGAGACCGTGGCCGAATTGAAGAATATCATGTTACAGGGTGACCGCCATAAGAGAAGAGGACGATCAACCACAAATCGTCGTCGCCATACTTCAGCAAGCGTGAGCTCCTCTAGTTCTGAAGGTAAATCTCATGAAACTCACTCAGTTTCACGCAGCCCTTATCAGAAGAGAATCAACGACCGTGTATATACTGGAAGAAAGGTCGATTTACCACTTTTTAGTGGAGATGATGCTTATGGATGGCTGATTAGGGTTGAGCGCTATTTCAAACTCAACCATGTGGCAGAAGAGGATAAAGTAGAAATAATCTTGATAGCCATGGCCGGAAAAGCTCTGAACTGGTACCAATGGTGGGATGAACAGACTGATGACCATTCTTGGGTTAACTTCAAAGATGCTTTGTTCCGGCGTTTTCAACCTGCCTTAGTGCAGAATCCGTTTGGTCCTATGCTCAGTATTAGGCAAACTGGTTCTGTAATGGAATACCGGGATCACTTTGAAATGGTTGTAGCTCCTCTCAAACTTGTTGACCAAGGGATGTTAAAAGGAGTGTTTCTCAATGGCCTTAAAAAAGAAATTAGCACGGAACTGAAGTTGCACCAGACCAGTGGGTTAACTGAACTGATGGACAAGGCTTTGTTGTTGGAGCAGAAGAATAAGGTGTGGATAGGGAAAAAAAATAAAGAAGAAGACAACATAGGTTGGAAGGAACATGGAGGAAAAATGGTTAGACCCTGGAACTGGGTAGACGCAACAAAGGGAAGAACACCTGCGTTAAATCCGGAGAGAACACTTTCAGAGAACAAACTGGAGGAATCGCCAAAACCGAGTAAGACATGGGAAGGTGGCCAAAGGTTGACACAAGCAGACTTAGAAGAAAGAAGCAAGAAGGGCTTATGCTTCAAATGTGGAAACAAATGGGGCAAAGAGCATGTTTGTGGAATGAAACATTATCAATTGATCTTGAGGGAAGAGCCAGAAGAAGAGGAGGGCACAATAGATCAATTTTATGAGCGGGATGGAGCTGAAAACTTGCTGGAACCTAATGCAAAATCAGTCTCTTATCATCCACCTTGAGGACAGGGTGGAAGTTAAAGGGGGAGTGATGTTAGGGACCTGAACACTACCAAGAATTAGAGCCTTATTAAGTCATTTTAGTTTTGTTCAATAATAGGGTTTAGGCCCTACAACTTATTAGAAGTGGGCTGGCCCATTAGAAATAGAATAAATAAGGGTGAGTGGGGATTAGATGGGAGGCAGAACTTGGGATCAGGACTAGGATATTGGGAGTGAGAGACCACTCAAAGAGTCTCAAACCTTTCCTTTCGTGACTTTCTGTATTCCTTCACTAAATTTTCATTAATAAACTACTACTTTCTTCTTGGATTCTTCGGTTACTTATCAAAATATAAGTATACAACTAGTTTACATATATGTTTAAGTTGTTTAGACTATAGAATGGACTAACTGAAACATACAAAAAAGAGTTCTACAAAGTACAAGAATTATATGTTTGAGAAAATGGTGAAAAAAATGTACTAGTAGTTTACATGGATAGTTTACAAGGTAGCTAGGAGAAGAAGTATACAAGTAAGCAGTTAGTTTACTTATATACATGGACAGTTTACTTCATGGTAGCTAGGAGAAGAAGTATTCAAGTAAACAGTTAGTTTACACTTCACATATACATGGTGAAATAAAATGGAAGATGAAGGAGAAGAAAGCTTACTTTGATCTTTGAGTGCTGCACTGCTGCAAGCTTTGCGGTTGATGTCGAGGTACAGAAGGAGTTTGCGAACATGTAACAGTAGAGCAGAGCAGGAGGTTTACGTTATGTGTTTAGCGTAGGTTACGTTGTTTTAAGTTTTTAACCTTATTTACATGGGCTTTATTAAAAATATGGGCTTCTTAATGGTCTTACTTGATCGCACATGTGAGAAACTGCCTCAGTAAAACGTAAAATAGACTTTCCCCTGTCGGGCGCGATAAGCGAGCGCTTAAAATCACTGCTGCGCTTCTGCGCCTGGTGCGCCTAAGCTGCGCCTGAGAGAGGAGGGTGCGCCTGGTCATCTTTAGAGCGCCGGACCTCTATTGCGCTGCGCCTGGTGCGCTCAGACACTCGACTTTGACAACCTTGTTCATACTTGATTTGAAACATTTTTTAGATATTAACTGTTTATGAGGATTAAATTATATTCATATTACTATTACACACACATATACAGAATATATACACAAACATCGTGATAGGGACCCACCTATTGACTAATAAATAGATTAGTAGCTATTAGTTAAAATGCTGTAATAGATATTAAATAAAGTCAGTTGCTGGACTGCTATAAATAGAAGGTAGGCTGGGAAGGGAAGGGGGCTTTTGAACTCTTTGTCTTGGGAAGACTGAGACTAATAATCTCTTTCTTTGGGAGCTTCGGCTTTGGGGGCTTCTGCCTTTGTACAGATTATTGTCCATCTTCTAATAAAGCTTGTGAAGTTCCTTTGATTCCTTCTGTGATTTTACTGTAAATTCTGGAGGACCTATCATTGGTATCAGAGACGTCGATCGCTGAGATAACCACGCCTGAAAATGGAGGGGCGACTCACTGAAGTGGAGAGGAATCAGCGTGAAATGCAAGCTAGGATGGCGAATATAGCGGCTAATATGGCCGTGATGCAAGCGGCGATGCAAGCTAGCATCGCAGAATTGCAGAACCGACTTCAAAGTCGTTCGCGACATACATCACACCATTCTCACCCTTCGCATAGGTCGCACCATACTTCGCACAAGGGACACCCAAGAAATTCCGACCACGGAGAGCATGGCAACAACGAACTTAGAGTGAGGAGCCCTAGACATCGTTCGTCGCAGTCGCTCACAAGTTCGCAGGCTGAGTCGCGAACTACTTCTCTTGACTCGCAATCGCGAACTTCTTGTCACTGTTCTCAGTCGCAAATAGTTTCTTTCAGTTCGCAGACTTCCTCACCGGCCATCCCTTCACTTCCAAGAAAGACGCGAGTGAGAGGTGAATATTCCTCCTCGCCAATCCATTATCACTGTTCGCGTTCTTCGTATGACGTCGCTCCTCCAAGCTCCCAAGCAATTTCTTCAGGACCTCTGGTTTCTAGGAAAACAGAAGACCCCATTTCGCAATATCCCTCTGAGTCCCCTGAATTGCTTCAGGAGTTGACTAATCAGCAGAAGGGTTGTCAAGAAAAACAAGAAGAAATCATCAGATAACTTTGAACATGAAGCTGATGCCGTTGCTGAACTCACCAGAGGTTGTCAGTCATCAAAGATTACGTTAGAAGGAATGAACACTTCTGATAGCCTTAGAGTGGAAAAGGTTATGATGGATAGTCTACCCGGGGGGTATATATCCGAGGGGTTATTGCAGAGAATAACTTAGAGAGAAATCAGAGCACAAGTAAGCAAGAGAGAGAGTGTATTCAGTATGAACGTCGTGGTTACAAATGGGGAAATAGGGTGCTATTTATAGTAGCAATAAATGCCGGACAGGGACACATGTCAAGCGCCCATTGGCTGAGAGGTCACCTCAACTGGTTGGCGTTGGCAGCCGCATGTGGCCGCATTTAATGCGGCTGTTGGATGGGACGTCTGTACAGGGTACAGTGATCTGTACGCATGTGAG